ACGGTGATACACAGCATTTTTTTTTATCCTGTCTGACTGACTGTTCCATTAACTCTTAATAGATGTCAGGTTATTTTGAATGGAATGTGATTTTGATTGGTCTGGTATTGATGGTCCACAGTGGTTACCTAGTTTTATCATGTAGTTTGTATCCTGTACGGTAGATATCTCTAGTTGAAAATAACCTGTCTCTGTCTCCAGTCTGATTGATAGTCTATTAATACTCTACTGATAACCTCCTATCAATATAAATACACTTGTTCTTAAAGCAACATTAACATATTTTAAACAAACTTAGTCAATAGGATTATTGAACAATGAGATGTAAAAAAAATTTTCATTATTTTTTTAGTCAAAGTTATAGATTAGGATGTAAAACTCCAATTTTCTCAGATGTCGAATGATAAAGGGTAGAAAGATAGATGGTATGACTCCATTCTTAAATCAAGTAAGGTTTGTAATAATAGGGTGTAAAACTCCCCTCTTTTATTTGAATGATGTATAACAGTAGGATATTATGAGACTCTAACTTGATGATTATTTTTAACTAAGAAATGCATCTTTAAGATCTTTAGTCATCTACCAGGATGTCATGTGACATCTTGACACAAGACAAGTTATTGGAGAATTTCTTCAAGTCTTTATCAAGATTTAAGTTATTCCTTAGAATTACATCTTCAACTTCTCTGACAATCTTTTCAAGTCACGTTCAGTCCTTAACATTCTGTCTTTGAATTATTATTTTGAGTACTGGTAAGTAAAGAGTTGTTACATTGGGTGTGAAACCTTTTAGAGCCTTAAAGATATCTACTAGACGAGATGTTATGAACTGTGGTAAAACCCTTAAGGCAAGATGACATGACAGCCATTTTCAGATACCTGTTAGAGGTCTTATGGGAATACTGCTTTATTTAAAGTTATATTATGCTAATTAATTATATTGATTTGCAACAAATAATTCTGAGTGGTAATCCCTGAGTATTTTGACCATTTACCTTTTACGATGAGTGTTTTCCTGAATAAGATGATTCTACTTAAATTTTCTAGGAATTCTAATCAGCAGGGTTTTTGTTTGAGCTGGGGTAGTGTTTCATATAGCTATAAAGGTTTTACTGGAAGTATCTAGGTATAGGCGACTACATAAAATAGATCACCTGTATACTGTAATAACTATATTAATTATATCTATAACAGATGGTAAACTCAATATTTAATTATAATTACTATCATTGTTTTTAATTATTAAGCGTATCACTTGATTAATTAATTAATACATCAGAATATGTTTACATTTTAAGCATGCATGGGATATTTATAGGCTTAAATAACTGTTCAAACTTAATGGAAATCGTTTATAGAAATTATACATGATTTACAACTGGACACAATATGAAAGGAATTGTAAAGAGGTTTTGTAAAATTTGTATGTGTATCGGGGACACTGTGAAAGCATCTATTTACACCTTTCCCATTTTTAATAAGACGTCTGTGGTTCCTGCAATTCCACTAAAATGATGTTTTTGATGACGTCAACAATGGCCAAATTTGCTTCATCAAATAAGGTCCTCTGTCTGATTGAAATTTCGAATGGTTAGAAAAACTCTTTACAATCCTTTTAAGGATGATTAATACTTCAAATACTTGATTATCATAATAAGCACAATGAATATGAAACACAATATGATGGACTTGTGATATAATACTAATAACAACAAGCCAGGTATACCATATTATTGAGTTCTGTTATGTAAAGAAATAACTTTGTTGTAAAAGCTAATTTAAGCAGAAAGATTACTATAAGAAGGTGTTTAACCATTCATGCATAAATAATGGGACAAATTTCATGAATAAAAATTACTCTAAAGAATAATTGAACCTTGTAATTGGTACATGACTAATTGAACACAAATTTGTGGATAACTATTACTACTACCTGAATAATACAGTTAGTTCTCTAATTTGATAAAGTTGTTCTGGAAATAGCTTCAGCTTATATACAGTATAAGTGAACACAACTTTATTATAACAAAATACTGTTAAAAGCTTCAAATACAATTTTATAGTATCTATTCTTTTAAAGGGACTCACAGGAGTTTGGTATGTGTATGAGAGATACATGTAGCTTCTATTTGCACCATTCTAATTTCCTGTCTGACATCTATTGACTCCCTCAATTCTACAAAACTTTGTATCATCCATATTCCACATTGAATTCCACAAAGATCATCCAATTACCAGTAAAGTGTTTGACATTAATGATGATACCAAAGATAGTTGTTAGTTATTACATTAATTAGGTCTAATGAACTAACTTCTTTATCTTATAGTCTATGATTGAAAATGAGGTGACACAGGAACTCTGTTAATATATACATACATATGGTGCTCGAGATATATTATTCATTGACTATAAACAATGTCCTAACAATCAAATTATTAATAACTAGATAAGAATCAAATGATTTGAAACAATGAATACATTAAAGTACAGAGCTTACAGCCCCTGTTATAGGGAAATAAAATAAATATTTTGTGATAATCATGGAATAAGAAACTGAACCTGAGGATTAGTTGATGTTTATGTTAGCCAAAGGATTATAAATAACAAAAGGAATATAGTTTGATGTGGATTTAATAAAGTTGATAACCTGATGACTGTGGTGAATTAAGGAGATGATAACTTGAATTAAAGTAAACAGTGGAAATATTTAGGGTTTTGAACAGGAAATCGTTGTCAAACTTTAAAATAAAATGGAGAACTGTAGCAATACTTTTCTGTTTTTATTTCAGTTTGCTGTAAATAAGAAAATGTCCAATGGGTCACATGATCATTTGAAATCTACGGACAGCAACTCAGATTCTGTAAGTAAAATTTTTATTTTAGATTTGAATTAGACAGTACAGAAGGAGAATCTGTTACTATCAGATTATGAAATTATGTAGAGTACAGGGTTGTAGCTACAGTTGTCAACAATAGTCACCATTTGACTTTACCAATCGGCACTGACCTGAACATAACCAAAATTCACAGACCGATTTTAGAATTTATGTAAAATTATTAAATGATGCCAAATATCCAAGATTTAAACAAATTTGACTTCAATTTCAGTCCAATATCATACTTAGATATTTAGTTTGTATTGTAGAAACTTTTGTATATTCATGTATTGGTAGCTTCATTCACTTTGCCATTTTGATCTTCCACTCAATTTTTGTACTGGATAGAGTAGATAGTAGAGTTTTAATAAGTATAGATAGAGTTTAAACCCTGTAATAACTGGTTCTAGTTAGTATATTGATATTATATTGGTTATCAATGACAACTAAAGGAACAATCTGAAAATCTCTAGAAACACTATACAGAATCTATTCTGACTATAATCTGACTTGACTGATAATCCTACCCTCTGTATAAAACTACATAGGAAGGGTGGCGAAGGTTGGTGGAGATGCGTTTTCAAGCAAATTGCTGATGGAAGTATATACATATGGTTGGATTCTCCAAAGAAAATAGATTGATTCCATTTGGCTCTAAGATAATTAGTATGGTAATCTATAAAACCTTAGCAGCTGGTTTAACTGAAAAGAATAATTAATGCATTGATGAAGCTTTTTCAACAATGACTGGTAAAAGTTTAATGAAATGAAGAAACATGTCTCAAAATTGCATTAAAGTTTAAGTGATCTTGGTTTCATAATGCTGTCTCTATACATCCTATTCACATTATTCAATGCCATAGAAAGCAGGACACCAGTAAGACTTAAAGGGGAACAGTTGGCATTTTCAGGGATTGATTTAGGTCTTAATTGTGCTTTAATAGTCTTAAGAAGTACTAAAACGCATGAAAATAAATCGTATAATCCCTTCAAATATACATCAAACTAGTTAGAAATTTCACTGTCTATTCCTATATATGTGTTTTCTATATATGGCATAGTCTCACTAAAATTCGAGTCTAATTTTTAATTTTCAAACATGAATAACTATGGATATAATATAAACAGGGATTTGAAGGCTCAAATTTCAATAATGAGCTGTGAACACTATTACTGATTATGTAAGCTAAAATCATTCCTGTTTCTGAAACTAAGGTATGATTGGATGAACAGATACTGAAGGTACTCTTTTAAGTTAAACTCATCAATTGTTTAATATTTCCTCTAAAGAATTAGTACTAGTTGAAAATCTTCATTGATTCCTGGTATAGAAATTGTGTAAATATATCATGGTACTTTTGGTTAGCTGGCGTGATATGAGACACATTTCTAGTTTAACCTTGTGACAGCCTATTTATGTCATATCACATCATTTTATCATCATTGATAATTCTAGTAGAGAATAGAATTTAAATCAACTTAACCACAAGATATTTTTAGGACCTTAGTTAATTCTATCTTATACCATGATATTTATATACCCACTTGAAAATGACTATAGTTGAAGCTTGAATTTTTTTTTCTCTACCTTTAGACTAATTACAGTACAGTACCAAACATTTTTCATACTTTATTTTACTGCAAATTAATTTCCATTTCTATTGAAGGGCAGACATTTGTTTCTCTTAAGAAATTGTTAGAAGTTAATATTTTGTCTCAAATTTCATATTTCCTATGCAAATTTTCTCCTAATTCAAGATATTTCAAATTATATTCGTAAGATTTTTTAAGAAAACAGTAGTCAGATATGAAAACTTAAGGTTCTGATATACTCTCCCAATTATCAATTTAAAATATAAAGTTAATAAAAAACGATAGGTTTGAATGTACATGTGTTTTGAGGCAACTGTTATGATAAATAAAGATGTGAGATATTCTGTACCTCAAGGATGTACTCTATGATTAAAAATATATCAGGAATAACACTGGAATATTGCTGATTTGTGGCATTGTTATTATTACAGGAAGAAAGTGGTGAAGGGTCAATATCCAGCTCTCATATTGATGGTGCTCCCAGCACAGCCTCTACCACTTCTAAACAGAAACGACACAGAAAGAGTCGTAAAGACCGAATAGAGTGGGATATATTAGAAGGTCTACGAGATGGACAGAAATGTGAAGACAAACCTGATAAACACCAAGGTTTCTTGATGAAACGAAGAAAATGGCCTTTAAAGGGATGGCACAAGGTAAGTGATATTCAAACCTCAGTTATATGATATAAGTAGGCTGTATAAATTTGGAATGATCCTTTAAAGGCATCCATGTCCACCAGTCAATTAGTCCATTTATATCTTTTGTACCTTTATTTACCATTCTGAATTAAGCAGCTTTGGTTTTCAACTGATTTTTCCTTCACTTCAAATTAAAAGTCAAATCTATTGCTGTAAGCTTTTTACAGGCTTTAAAAAGTCTTACCTATATTGTAGATTATCTGGGGCCTTGTCACATGTGTTAATTGTTATGGCAGTTTTCAAACATGATACTATCTTATTTCTATATTTTCAGAGATTTTTTATGTTAGAAAAGGGAATACTGAGCTATGCCAAAAGTCCCAATGATGTAAGTAATGGTTTATTATTTCAAAGCACCTGCAATGTAGAAAACATCTTGTTCTATGTTCAGTTAACCAAATGTTTTCAATTTATACAAAATTACCAAATACCATAGGTATGATTTATGTGGACTGCATAAAGATGATCCTTAAAATTAACCAAATTCTAAATGAATATGTGATAAGTGAATATAAACATAGAGACTTTCAGAATGAAATGAGAAACAGAATTCCAAAAAATGCCTTTTACCTTTCCCTTAATCCGTCTGATACCTCTCCCCTCCCTTTAAAATTATTTCTCCTAGCATGTTATCTTGTCTTACCAGCTACAGTATAAAGTATTCAGTATATTCCTGGAGTGTTTAGCTGTGTGAGTAATTGAAATAGAAATGGCTAAGTAGTTTATTCCCTGACAGTTTTCTCTCAGATTGGCTGTTGTTGACATTTCACGAGAATGAGTAAGAAAATAGAATTATTGAAATCATTTTAAAGATTGAAGTAAAGGAGAGACTGGATGACCTTTCTATAATGAAGTCAATGTGGTTAACTCTGTATCTTCTAGCAAAATACAAATTTGATATTTTATTAGACTAGGCTAGGCTACAAATTTCAATGTTTTATCTCTATATTGTTTGGAAAAGAAACTTTATAAGGTTTATATATGATGAAAGCATATAAACTAGTGTCCAAAAGAAACGATACCACCTGTTTGCAACGACATAAAAGAAAAACTAAACAATGCAGAAGTTTAGGATTGGTGTTATGCTTTTGAGAAATCCTTTCACAACATCTGTACAAAAATTTCATTTCAATAAAATCTGTACAACCAATATGACAAGCCTTTAAAGATGGGTGGGTTCGAAAAAAGAACATTTCGTTAGAGCACTGATCACAGAAACAACGGGAAATGTCACACCACACGTCACAAAGTCAAGTCAGTAGCGGGTATGTCCACCGTGAGCATCAATACATGCCAGAACACGTCTACGGACTGATGCCGTCAAACGTCTGATGACGTTGGGAGTGATGCGTTGCCATTCCTTGAGGAGACATCGTTCCAAGTCTTGGACGTTGACTGGAGGCACACGGCGACGTCGGATTTGCCGATCGAGGTGGTCCCATAAGTGTTCGATGGGATTCATGTCCGGTGAACATGCGGGCCATGGCAAAACCTGTACGTTGGCATTGGCAAGGAAGTTCTGTGTCAATCTTGCTGTGTGTGGACTTGCATTGTCATGTTGGAAAAGGAGTCCACAAGGCTGTTGCTGAATAAATGGCACCACAACAGGCCGTAGAATGTCATCAATATAACGCTGTGCATTCAGGTTTCCACAAATTACAACAAGCCTCGTTTTGACGTCACCACATATGCCACCCCAAACCATTAAACCTCCACCTCCAAACGGCCGGACCTGTTGGATAAAGTTAAGCGCTAAACGTTCACCAAATCGTCGGTATACAAGCTGCCGTCCATCGTTTTTGAAGATGAGGAATCTGCTCTCCTTAGAGAACATAACACGTGCCCAGTCCCGCCGTTGCCAACGTCGAACTCGCCTGGCCCAGATCAGTCTGTTGTTCCGGTGTCGAGGTGTCAGGATACATGTTATATTATATGTTATATTACATGTTATTTAATACATGTTATATTACATGTATATTACATGTTTTAATAAATGTTATTTAATACATGTTATATTATATGTTATAATACATGTTATATTACATGTTACAATACATGTTATAATACATGTTATAATAAATGTTATAATACATGTTATATTACATGTTATAATACATGTTGTAATACATGTTATATTACATGTTATATTACATGTTATAATACATGTTATAATACATGTTATATTACATGTTATAATACATGTTATAATACATCACAATATTTATTACACAGTGCACAGCTTTGTTACATTATACTGTATAAAATGGTATATGAGAAGTAAATGTTAAAATGGACTCATATTAACATAACCATGTTCCTTTACAAAATCACAGGTCCATTATAATAAAACATGACTTGAAATACACACCGATCAGAAGTCTTGCTTGTGTAGATACTTAAAATCTTTTATACTATTATTATGGATATATGTAGAATATTTATTACTTTCAATGTGGTTCTCACACCATTAAATCTAACAGCACTTAGAAATATATAGTTCTAACTTCATGATCTAGGCCGGTGCTTTTTATGGCAATTTTATTCTCATATCACCATTATCAGGAATATAATAATTGTTTGATTTATCTATAACTTGTGATGCTAATATAACATTGAAGGATTGAAGGATGGATTGTAGACATCAAAGTTATATTGATCTAAAGAAGAGAGTTATATTGGCCTGATAGATAGTTTTAGAAGTTATCTATATTTTTAATGTAATTGTCAGTACCAGACACTAGTTTGTGTCTATCACTTGTCTTATTGATTATAATAACAACTTAACATCCTTCCTCCCCCTAGTCTTTATTATATCTCTCTTTATTACTCTTCTTAATCACAAACATTTCTATTCAAATCCCAATACGTATATAAATATTGGTTGTAACTGTAACCAGCAAGGCAGGTTATGCTTTAATTGAAAAAGTATAATTAAAAAGCAGAATTTTTGTTACTTGTGTTATTCTCAGGGCAGGGCCTCTTCTTAATACAAACAGTTCTATTCAAATCCCAGTATGATATTCATTGTGTTGCTAGCAAGACAGGTAATGCATTAATGAGAAGCTGAACTTTCTCAGTTATTGATCACAGAAATGTAAATAGAAAGTGATTTTCTGTTGATGTGACCTTGGCCAGTGCTTCTATAGGAGAGTATCTTCTATAATATCCAATACTAACATAACAAGCTTTTTAAAAGAAATATATTCTGCAGTTCCAGTGTCAAGATGAATCATACTTGATATACAAACTAACAATATTTCCTGAATATTCTAAACAATATTGATAGTATCACTCTACAGGGATTGTATTAGAATTTAAAATGTTTTTTATTGAATTTTTTGCTAGAAATTTGTTTATTTGGCAGACAAATCAGGGAATATTGTGAGAAAACTTATTGATTATTATTATTCTCTTAGACAAGTTTCAAACCAGTCAGGTTATTTTTGTATTAATGTGATCTTATTTTACAAATTTTGTTCTCTTTCATACAAAATAATCTCTTTCAATATAAATTGATTTTTAGAAAACTTTATTTGCACAAAGGACATATTATATTATTAGATTTCAGATGAGATTAAAGGGATATGTTATCTGAGAGAAATTCTTAAACATTTTGTTTTCTTCAGACAACTGATCTATTTCAGCCTGTGTCCCTAATAAAGTTTGACAAATAGTGATCTATTTCAGTCTGTATTCCTATTGGAGTTTGACAAATATTCACACAACTTGACTTAATGACAAACACGAGGCAATTTTATATAATAAGCTGACTTCTAAACTAATTTAACATAGCGTTTGAACACAAATTACACGTGTCTTCATCAGATGAAATAATGAGGTAATAAACATAACAGAATATATAACAACTGCTTTGAACTAGATTTTGATTAACAACGAAGAATACAGAGTTAACCCTTTCAACCCTAGCGGCGAGTTTACCTGCCACACACTAGCGCAATACAATACCCAAGCAGCTGGTATACTGGCTGTTACTAAGTGATGTCACACAATGTTAACGTCATAGGCATTTACTTTTATTACTTGGAGTTCAGGGTATAGGATATTTCATTTACACTCAGAGTTGAAAGTCTTAATACATCAAAAGGTAATAACTGTAACAATGAGAAGTCATGATAAGAGAACAGAAGCTAATTAACGTGTCAGAACAATATTATATTTTGAAATGAAAGATATTTTGGTATTTTATATTTTAGATATTAAAAGGCAAGTTACATGGTGTAATAGATATAGGATTAGCTGTTATAACATATAAACGTAAACGACTTAGACTAGATATAGATGCTGAGGAACAGGTTTATCATATCAAGGTAAAATATCTCTTAACTCTTTCCCCATCTTCATCTTCTTAGGGGCAGAAAAAAGGACATAAAATTCCATTCATCTCATTTAACTCATACAACTAACTTAGTTAGTACCAGGGTGTTTCAGATTGGTAATTACTCATTATCATGGATGATTCTCGAGTGTCAGTCTGGCATAGGTAGAGATAGAACCTTAAGATATTTCCACTTGGTACTCTACTGTCAATCAAACAAGAAATCCCCAACTTTATCAAAATCAAGTATTTCTCAGCCACCAAGTCTCCTGCCTGAATTGATACCTCCTCCATAACATAGACTAATGTTACTGTCATGATTTTAAACTTCACAAACAATCAAGACATCTACTGTAACCTGATATTATTATTTTATAGGTTAAAGATAACAGAGGATTTGATGAATGGCTAGTCAGACTACGACACCATAGACTCTACAGACAACATGAAATAGCATATGGTACTAAAGAGACACCTCGATTGACAGAGATTACCTCCCCTACTGAAGATACAGTCATTAGTCCTCTAGCTTGTAAGTCATTCCTTATTCTGAGAAACTTGTGTGAATATACTATCTTGAGATTAACAGTAATAGTGAAGAGTAAGACCACATATTACATTTCATTTATCTAATAATGAGCACCCAAATTAAGAATTCCACACTTTCCAGTTGTGTACCACAAAGCAAAAATCGTTGAGGTAACACGTAACATAATTGGCCTATTAACCTATCAATATGCTACTATCAGGAATTGGTAAACTGGAAATCTTTAAGGATCTGCTAACAACTGCCAAACTATTTCTTTGAAGTCAAATGTAAATATTTTTATTGTTTTTTTCAGCTGCCAATTTTGCTGAGAAGAGTCGTAGTTTAAGTTTAAAGAAAGAAATAATACGACAATCTAGTTTTAAAACTTCAGTTGGTCAGACTCGTGTAGCAGCCTGGGTTTTAGATACAGCTGGCTTTGAAAAGTGCAATAAAGGTATGGATAGATAGAATAATGTAATACTAAATTAGTTGGTTGGTAATTGTATTGGTTCAATTGGATGATTTGGTAGTTGATAAGTATACCAAATATACAATATAAGACATGTGTCTTTTAAAGGGATATTGAGTCTGCAAACTAAACCTAGTGCAGATTGTATCAGATGTTCCAGAAGAGTAATCAGTCTAGTTCGCTGCAATGCTTGTAAGATACGGAACACAATACTGTACTACTGTACTGTAATACTTGAGTTTTAATGATCACATACAGATTAATACCTATTATAGTAGAGCTCAAATTCAATCAAGTGATTTGGATAGTTGGTATTTTCTTCATACTCACTTTAAGTTCTCAAGTATCCATGTTGGATGTGAGTTGAAATATGTTTGTCAATCACACAGGTGCCGTCTTCTTGTTCCTGGCAATGGAATTGTAAAGCACCTCAGCTATCTTGAGAAAGAATGATACACTAGGGGGGTGACTTCGCCCACATTGACCACCACATCTCCCCTTCCCCAAGTTTATCTTTAAGGTAACTATGTTATTGTTACAGGTTTAGCAGAAGCCCAGTCAACTCTGTATGAACTAAGAGATCTATTAGAAGAACTGCAGAATTTGCCGTTGTCTGGTGACACTAATATAGAGGTAATAATTCTACACTGGATTACTCCCCTTAGCTATAGTTCGGTTGTGTTTTTTTTTAGTTTATCTAACAAGTCATGTTGTCATTCTGCCATCAATCTTATGAACTTTTACAGTTTACATGAATTTCAACCAAAATTTAGATTTATTGTTGAAAAATTACTGGAAGATAATGGCTACAGATGATAGTCAAGATGTTCAAGTGATGTTTGATGGCAGTATGAATCGCGCCTAGTTGTGTGTTGTGTGTTTTCTAGTTTCAAATATTTCCCCATTTATTTTTTCTCTTTATAAATTATAGAGTTTTCATTTTTTTTCTTAGATTTAGGTTTTTTATTTCCCAGTTTTTTCAATACTTATTTAGGTTTTTCAGAATAAAAACCCATTTTTTTTACTCCTGTTTGTCACAAGGTTTAGAAAGTATCCCAATTTTTTTTTTAAATCCTTTAATTAAGTTTAGATTTTTTAAAAGAGGGTCTGAGGTTTTTTGAAACTCTACCAATGTAATCTCCCCATCCCCCCCCCCCCCCCCTCCCCCTACCTCTGCTAGATTGAATATATTTAGTTGTTATATCTCTAATCTTTATTTTAGTATTATGCATGGCATGATGAATTTTCAGTTTAATTATACTTTAATTAAGCATGTTTTAATCTTATCCATGACATGTGTGATTTTTAAAAATTTAGATTAAAGAGAACATGTGTTTTACTATTTAAATAAAATTAAAAAATTTGGAATTAAAAATTTTCAAGATAAAGTAACTTTTGATGGTTTTAAAAGTCAGAGAAATGAACTATGAAATGAATATTTAGCTGTATAAGTGAAGGCTCATTTCAAATAAGAATTAAATTGGGCTGTTTAGAGATTTCTGACCAATTAGCCAAACTAATAACAAAGATCTCCATTGCGTCAATGAGATTTTGTTTGCTTAACATATGGCATAATTAGGCTAATCAGCTGGCTAATTATTAATTAGTTAATTGGCAATTAAGAAAACAAGGCCATTATTTACTTATAATTAACCTTCGACCCCAGAAAGTTCAATTCTCTGACGTTGTTTTGTTAATCTGTTTGTATTATAAATATTGTTAGTCTAGTTTCTATCATTCTTTACTTAGTTCAATTTGACGTTTGTCATAAATCTTTTACTCAAGACTACTGTTTCATTGAAGACTGAAATTCGACATCTTTAACATCTGTTTCATTGAAGACTGAAATTTGACATCTATAATATCTGTTTCATTGAAGACTGAAATTTGAAATTTAAATCTGTAACAACTGTTAAGTGTAGACTGAAATTTGATCATTGTAGACTGAAATTTGACATCTGTAACAACTGTTTTAGTGTAGACTGAAATTTGACATCTGTAACAACTGTTTTAGTGTAGACTGAAATTTGATCATTGTAGACTGAAATTTGACATCTGCAACAACTGTTTAAGTGTAGACTGAAATTTGACATCTGTAACAACTGGTTTGGTGTAGACTGAAATTTGATCATTGTAGACTGAAATTTGACATCTGTAACAACTATTTCATTGTAGACTGAAATTTGACATCTGTAACAACTATTTCATTATAGACTGAAATTTGACATCTGTAACAACTATTTCATTATAGACTGAAATTTGACATCTGTAACAACTATTTCATTATAGACTGAAATTTGACATCTGTAACAACTGTTGCATTGTAGACTGAAATTTGACATCTGTATCAACTGTTTCATTGAAGACTGAAATTTGACATCTGTAACAATTGTTTCATTATAGACTGAAATTTGACATCTGCAACAACTGTTTAAGTGTAGACTGAAATATGATCATTGTAGACTGAAATTTGACATCTGTAACAACTATTTCATTATAGACTGAAATTTGACATCTGTAACAACTGTTGCATTGTAGACTGAAATTTGACATCTGTATCAACTGTTTCATTGAAGACTGAAATTTGACATCTGTAACAATTGTTTCATTGAAGACTGAAATTTGACATCTGTAACAACTGTTTTAGTGTAGACTGAAATTTGATCATTGTAGACTGAAATTTGATATCTGTAACAATTGTTTCATTGAAGACTGAAAATTGACATCTGTAACAACTGTTTCATTGAAGAAATTTGACATCTGTAAGAAATTTGACATGTGTAACAACTATATCATTGTAGATTGAAATTTGACATCTGTAACAACTATTTCATTTTAGAATGAAATTTGACTTGTTTTGTAAATCTATTGCTAAAGACTGATATATCCATTCCATATCATTTGATTTAACTTTTGATCGTAAGAATTATTATAATCTTTAAACCAAGACCAAAACACCTAGTATCACTTAACTTTCAGAGAGTCTACAAAGCTTGTTTCTGTTTAATTGGTTTTTATCCTGACTCAAAGTTTTTTTAATAATATTTTCGTCACAAGAATTTTTTCTATGTAAATCTCTCTATGAATCAATGTTAGAAGCTAGACTAGCAGTTTGTAGTTGAATGCACACAGAAAACAAATTAGCAATGGAGGATACTGAAACATGTACTTTTTGGGGAAATTTTTACATGTTCATTGGCTATTGTTTAGGAAATAACTGCAAGAGTATACAATTCTCAATAGAAATTCTATGCATTGTTTGAACTGCTGAAAACAAATTTTCTTTTATTGCTATTGGCTGATTTACAATTAACAAACATATTTTGATCTTAAAACAGTGTCCAATTATTATTGTATCAGTATATCATGCCTTATGACTAAATTCATGAGAGTTCTTGTAATATATCAGCCAATCAATTTTGTCATATTTTCTTGCTAATTTGACCTGATTTTGCTGATATTTTGTGTGCATTGAGACTCATCATACTGCAGCTTTTATTCTATTCTATATTTTACTTACTAATCTTTCTCTTTTTGTTTGTTTTTTTGCTTCTTTTTACCCTAGTATCCGGACCATCTTATTAACTCATGTGAAAAACGGAAACCTCGCAATCGATTTACAGTTCGAAGCAGCAAACGTAAAGATAAGAAAATTGATAGTCCCACACATAACCGCGACACAAATATAGTGAGTTAGCCATTGTACATCATGGGCATGGTTGGGGCTTGAGATTCTTTGGTTCTTACATTCTGTCCACAGGAACTTCTCAAGAATCTTTATCACAGTACTGAGGACAAATTTATAGAGAGTTTAAAATGTAACCCTTTTCTGATCTATACCTAAAAGTTAATCCCTTGGCACTTGATTTAAAGTCTAATTCTATTTTACAAGTCATCCTGTTAGGTGCAAAATAGTAGTGTAAAACTCCTCATTTCTGTATTTGCTTTCCAGTTTCCTACATGCCAAGACATCTTCTTAAAGTCCTTAGTCAACAGGAATCGGTGAATTTTACATTGAATTTTTTTATGCAATTTTGCTGGTCAGAAATCTGCTGGTTAGTTGGTTGCTGACAAGTTAACTTCTGCTTCTAGCTAACTGATATTGTTGACTGCTAATCAAAAGTTTCTATTGAATAAAGTATTTGAAAACTAAGAATATAATAAGTTACAGCACCATAGAATTAGACTTGATATCATATTGTATCTTGACCACATCTCAAGCCCTAATTTCATTCTATTGTAATCTCACTATCTATATAACCTATCATCCAGACTGAAAATGATACCCCAGACACACCTAGTCTTTATATGAACTCTTCCTACTATAGTTATAGTAGGTCAACCATATTAATGCACATGCAGAAAATCACCCCTGATATTCTCTTTGAACTATTCTATATATATTTTAAGTGGTTCAATGATAGCCATGCACATGCAATTGGTACATTTATTTTCACTGCTTTATATGTAGATTTATTAACAAAAAGTTAAAAAATACTTGTAAACCTTTCCAGATGTTTTCATTGAATTACACTTCATGTTCAAATATATTTTGGATGTGCATACCTAATGAACTATATAGGTATATACTATGAGGAAGAGGTGTGTCTTCAAGGTATTTATTTTCAGCCATTATTTAAATCATTATAGTTTATAATCACTGAGCTTATATCACTGTTTAATCTCATAGAGGAATATTAGATCTTTAACCTCACTGCTTTAATATAATATAGAACAACCTCCTAATATATATATATATACTGTATTTTCTTTAGCAGTTTTCTTTTTGGTAAGGATTTTAGGGTTTATAGGTGTTTACAGGTAGCTACAGTAGCTTAGAAAGGCACTAGCTTTACTTACTACTAGTAAACGAACTAGCTTAATTTACTTTATGATCATTGTTCATGATGTTTAACAACAATGTATGATCAGATGCATGTCAGGTGTCTTTCATGAAATTTATCAGAACCAACATAATATCATAATCAGAGGACACAAGTCTCTAAGATCACAAATACATTGTTTACCATAATTTTAGCAATTGTAATGATTTTTTCGGTTGGTCTTGATATCAAAAACTTTCATGCTTATCTTAAGCTTGAAGGTAGAAAAAGAACTCTTTGTAGGCAGTAATGATGACACTATTTGTGTTATAATGTCACATCATCTTAATTTTGAGATAGCTTGTTCTATATCTCAATACTCCTGCCAATCATTTGACAACATTCTACTCTGAATTCTACTCTTATTCCTTCTTAAGACTTTAAAAAAAAAAGATATTCTGTGTAATATGACATTCTGTTTATTACAAATACAACACTAATCAGAGGTTCCTGTATGATCTGACATCCAGTCATCTTATCCACTTACCGCCAATAAGATAATCACAGTTGTTTTGTTTTTTAATGACCGTGATATTAATTTTCAGAATAATGCCACGCCCACGTTAAATTTAATAGTACCAGAACGGATGCAGACCAGTACCTCCAACCCTAATCTCTTGTCTTCAAATAATGAACGTCTTCGACCTGTCAGTATGCCAGAAACTAATCTTCTCCCTTCACATCAACTCAGAATACAAGAAATTAAATTACGCGAAACTTTTATCAACAAGGCTGATAGAGGTTGGTATTTTTTGGATGATACCCAATAATGTGCAGTGAGTGAATGTTTGCCAGGACATCTGCCTTACCATACTCTTTTTCAATTTCTAACTGTTGATGAATCTTGGAGTGCACAGCCCAAGCACACAATGCCTTGGTTTATTGTCCTATCCAACTACAAGACATTGACCGAGTTATATCAGTGACATGGGAAAACCATTTTTAAAACTGTGATGGTATCATCATCATTATTATGCTGCCCTGACTTGGGTTACCCAGCAAGCCTCAAAATCATTGATACACACATATGAATAAGTATAACATGTTTTCTTTCAGTTCATGGTAATTTAAAAAATTTAATACATCTGATGGGAACAGAAAGAGAGAGATTAAAGAGCACTATAGAAGCAGATGCTGGTAATTCTTCAATGACAGCTAATACACCTGGTAACTCCAACCAAACAGCTGCTATGTTACGTCAACGACTAGCTGAGGTAATTTCCTATACAATGTTCTATTTCTTTGAGGTAAGGTTATATTGGTTGACAAAATGATGAACAAATCCTCAAGTTATTAAACTTAAGTAAAGTCAACTTAGAATTACTTACTCAGCTCCTTATCCTTATAGTCAGAAGTTTTAAGAGTAATATAAAAGGAGTATATTATTCATCGCTGCTCTGCCAGCAACATTTCTTTCATTTCACATGGCATGTGATCATTTGCCAAACAATAGGAATAAAAAGCAATTCTGTCAATAAAAAATCAAGAGTAAAAGTTGTATAGTAGTGGACAACCAGATCAATTTATGCCTGACCAAACAACAGCTGCATTTGATTTCATATGTCATATATTTTTGGTAGACTAATTTTTATGAACATATTTGTAGAGTAATCAACAGAATGCTGAATTACGAGCTAGACTGATTCGTATTGGTGCTGAATGTAATATAAATAATATTATTGGACCACCACCTCTCTCACCACTGCCTTCACCACCAGTTGTTCATGTAAGTTTCTTTCTGAACTTGATACTGTACTGTGCTTTATCATCAGTCATTATCATTGCTTATTCTTGTAATGTCATCACCATCAATTTAGTCACCATCATTTATTCATCATGGGTCATCACCATCATTTATTCATCATGGGTCATCACCATCATTTATTCATCATGGGTCATCACCATCATTTATTCATCATGGGTCATCACCATCATTTATTCATCATGGGTCATCACCATCATTTATTCATCATGGGTCATCACCATCATTTATTCATCATGGGTCATCACCATCATTTATTCATCATGGGTCATCCCCATCATTTTATTACAGCATCACTTTGCCATAAATGTTAGCATCATTACAATCACTAATATAAGTGTCCTGTTATTCATGTATCATCACCATAAGTTATTTATATAAACTTGTCTTTATCAGTCATTCATCTAAGTTTCTTCATTATAAATAATTCATGCAAGTGTGTTGCCTTGCATTAAAATCAATTGTATAAATGGTGATTTGAATTGTCTTTAGGATCGAAATCAACTTGCACAGTCTATGTCGGCTGAGAGTTTCTCTATGTCAGAATATTATGATGCAGAAGAAAATGTAGAAGCTATGAGTGAGAGTTCGTCTGAAGCATCTGATGAAGAAGATATTTCCAGTGAAGTGTCAGAAGAAGGCAATGATACAGGCATTACTAGTGGTACGTCTTTCAAAAAATGTCTTAAACTGATGTTCATGGTATAGACAGGAGAGAGTTTCAATAAGCTGGGGGTTTTAATGGCAGGTCCAACTGTAGCGGAAGTAATTAGTTATTGATTAGTAATTAGAGGGATTTGAACCCACCATATTCAATCATCCAATTCAAAACCTCTTATAAAGGGGGATTTGCTTAAGGAGTGTTGTTAGGGTCTTGTCCAGAAGTTTTCTGCTTGTGTCCAATGCCAGTGGGTATCTCCTTCAACACCTAATACAAATTTTGCTGCCAAGTGTCTGTCAATTTCACTTGATCAATTTTGCCATTTTTTGTATACCAGTTATGTCAGAAGATGTGATGTTAAGTTCAACGTTTCCTACTGGTAGAAGATCCAAGTTACCAGTACCCAAACCTGATTCTGGTGATATCAGTCTATGGAATTTATTATATAAAAATATTGGTAAAGACCTGACGAAAATATCTATGCCAGTTACATTAAATGAACCACTGAGCTCCCTACAGGTAAGCTGACATCACACAATTTTGAAATTTTTTAATTGGCCCAATAAGGATTCAAATATTGGTAAACATGGAACCAATTTACTTGTTCTTTAGAAAATCTTATGAACAATCTTTGTTGGTATTGAATTTTCCTTTTTGCCGATTTTTTTCTTTCAGTACAGAATGACTGATTAAATTTATCTCACGCCATTGCGATTACCAGTTGCATATGGTTGGGAATAATGAGAGTGGCCATGAGTACCGAACACTTATGACTGCTAATCTTATTCAAAACCATATGCAAGTGGTAAAGGCTATGGTGTGAGTGCCACTAGAAGTAATATCCTATAATACTAGTAACCTCTTTATATTGTTTTATTATAGAGACTATGTGAAGAATTAGAGTATAGTGATTTATTAGATAAAGCTTCAGAATATGATGATCCTTATGAGAGAATGGTGAGTTGATTTACAATGGTATAGTAATGGAACACATGTATATAGAACTCGGTGCCCATTTTTATTGGTTGTTGTTTGGCAGTGTATATACATACGCTCATTTTTACATTACCTTAGACAATGCTTATTATGAATCTTTACTTAACAGTATAGTTTTATACAAGAACAACAATGTTCCAATGATTATGGTTTTATTATTTATAGATATACGTAGCTGCGTTTGCAGTGAGTTCTTATGCAAGTTCTTTTTATCGTGCTGGTCACAAACCTTTCAACCCCCTACTGGGTGAAACGTATGAGTGTATCAGAGAAGATAAAGGCTGGAGATTTATAGCTGAACAGGTAATGTTTGGTTTATTTACTGAATTGGTTCTAAGATCTTAAACTCAAAGTTTTCATGAGAGTGACACAAATCTGACCAAATTCATACATGTATAACTTGTAACTTATGTTATGTACCAGTAAATATATTTTGTTCATTACACACTGCCTTCAATAGTTCAAGAGCTTCAGATAGATTTCATCTGGTTAAGAACTGGTGTGGTTTCTGTCTATAGTTTTCACATTCATGACTGAAATGTATCTATTAAAATGCCTTTGAAAGGAGTAAAAAAGCAGATTTTAATGGCTTCTGGAGAGCCCCTAGAAGCAGAACACTAGAACTTTATATATCATTTTATTTTAGGTCAGTCATCATCCACCTATATCAGCTTGCTATGCAGATTCCAGAAATTTTATCTTGAGCCAAGGTGAGTCCTAATCCCTGACCTCAAAGGAAAGTTAAACCTCATATTGTATGTGTTTTAAGAAGATAGAACTCCTGTTCCAATGATGAAGAAATGGTTTAAAGGATGTATTCATTAATAATTGTATATGCAGATAGTCACAGTTATGTTATATTTTCATACAATAGACATTGAAAAGAAGCTAAGCATTCAAATATTTCTGAATATAAAAATTGAATTTTGTTTTCATATTTATCTTTATAGATATGAGAGTAAAAACAAAGTTTTGGGGAAAATCTATGGAAATACAACCACTGGGAACAGTTAGTCTAATCTTGCCTAAGTAAGTTTTTACTCTTCTTCTTTCTGGGTTATATTTGTATTTCCCAGTTACTCTTTGCCTGGGAGTGTATTTAAGGAACAATATAAGGATGGCCTACTACTATGTGCATTTTTCAGTTGATTTTCTCAGATTAATGATAAAGAATTATTTTTTTCTAGATATAATGATTATTATCAGTGGAATAAAGTGACAACCTGTGTACATAATTTATTGGGTGGTCAACGATGGGTAGACCAATATGGTGAAATGAAAATTACTAATGGTGATGTAGTTTGTAAATTAACTTTTACCAAGGTAATTAAGTTATCTTTGAATTACACAAATTTAAGATCTATATCATTTAAAAGAAAGTATCAATAATCAACACTAATTTTTCTATTCATTGAGTTGTTTTAGCTTTGACAATTCTTTGGATTTGTAACTCTCCCTTGTGTCTACATCATAACCAGGTCAGTGCTTTCATGGAGACAATTCAATATTGACTTGATATTTTATTTCGAATATGTTTTATATTAAGTTTGGGTTTGTATAATTTTATAGGCTAGTCATTGGTCATCTAAGAAACATGAAGTATTTGGTACAATCAGTACAGGAGATGGTAAAGTGGTTCACAATATATTTGGTAAATGGAATGAAGGATTATTTTGTGGTCATGGATCTTCTGCTACATGTATCTGGAGACCAGGTATGCTCTTTTCCCTTTCTAAATATTTATTATGTTCACCTAAATATCTGAGTGATACTTTGCCATCTATTCAATCAATGGTCCCCTGCTCAAGAACAACCCTATCAGCAATACTACTTAAATGACTTAGAAGAGGAGATGCATAGTTCAGTTTGTGGCAAGTGGAGTCGCAGTGGAGTTAAACTGGATTGAGTGTCACTTAACTCAAATAAATGCCATGTTTCCTCCTTTTTAGGTTGTATGCCCGAAGATTATGAGTTATATTATGGTTTTTCAAGATTTGCTATTGAACTAAATGAAATAGATCCAGATCAATCCAGATTTTTACCTCCAACAGATTCCAGATTTAGACCAGATCAGAGGTAACTTTTAATCTTTGTGATTCCCAAATATACATAAGTTTTCTATTTGTTGAAATGTGTGTTGACTATTTTAGCAAGTTAGGTCAAGGTTAAGGTTAAGGTTGGGGCATCCATGCATTCATCTTTTCCTACCCAACAAGTATTAGTGTCTTGTAAAACTGTTAACAATAAGCAGTGCAAGGGACATAACTCTTGTTAAGAAGTAACTATATCAGACTACAGTATGACAGTATGAATTATCTATGAATAAGTTTCTCTCTGTTTGATAATGAGTTTATTTGTGTAATTATAGAATGTTAGAAGAGGGAAGAATACAGGAATCTGAGAGTGAGAAGTCTAGAATAGAACAGTCACAGAGAGAAAGAAGAAAACGTGATGAAAAAGAACATTTACCATTGTGGTTTAGGTGATTAACTCTTTTCTTTTATTTTTAATTTGAATATTGAGGACGTTGTTGGGACTGTTTTACCTTTACTACCTGATGGATATTCATTTGAACTTTGACTTATGTATGGCAATTTGGATAGCTTGTTTTTTCATCTTGTCCTAGTGATAACCATCATGTATGAGTCATGAGAAGGGAAAATAAAGCTTCTATTTTGCTAGGACAATGTAAATTGGAAATGTATGTCAAGCAATCAAAGGGACAATATTTCTAACCAATGGTGTCAAAAAAACAATTATTCAAAATCTATTCTAACATCTAGTCCCTTTTTTTAACAAAAATAATTGACTATCAATTTACATCTATATTTCAGAAAACGTGGTAATGGTGATAATTTTGAGTTTAACAGAAAATACTGGGAAACAAGGAAAGATCCTGGATTTAAAAATATGTCATTTGTGAAACTATGGTGATGGATAATATTCATTAGGATTCCTCTATAGGTCATGTGATAACCTGTGATTTTGTACCAATAGTTATCGTCCTGGGTTGACTCATCCATTCATGCTTATTTCATATTTGTGGTGATTTTTATCATAATTGTTCTATAGGTGTATCTGATACTGATTCAATGAATTTCAACAGTAAATAGCTCCTGGAAAAAAAATGAATGAAATTACACCCTCTACTTTCTGATGGGATATTACTATAAGGAGATAAGCAACACTATGCTGTGTACATTGCAATACTGTGAAATGAGATAAATTTAGCCAAAATAGCAGCGGTTGGATGAATAAACTTAGAAAAATAGTTTAAAATAAATTCTTGCCTGTTGCTTGTAATTGTTAGTGATGACAATTTATGATCCAATACAGTTAATGAAGGTGTGAGCTTATTCACACTTGTCAAATCAATCTGAATCTGAAGCTGGTGAACCTGGTCTGCTGGTAGTACTCGGCTGATGATCACTGTGTAACTAATGAAGGGTTTATATTTAACCTTGAAGTTAAACACTGTGTATGTGAGATGGCTGATATCTTTTTATCAGATTATGTCAAAGACATATGTATTCATTTCTTATACTGGTAAACTTAGTCACCAACTGACTTCCCTTTGATTACAGATTTTTTGATAAACAGTTAAAGTTCGTTAGATTTCTGTGCAACCTGACATTTCTTAAGATATAATAAGTGGTATTGCACTCCTGATTTGCTTGAATACCTTTGTCCAATATTATACTTAATATATTTTACAGCATCTAATATGAGCTTACACCATGTACAACCACAATTTAATATCTACATGTATATTATGGCATAATTTAGAGTTTCTACTTTGAAATTTAACCACCTGCAAGTTTCTGTACCACCTTGTTTTTTGAAATTTTTTATATTTGACATTTAAATTGAAGGAATAATCTCTATTCAGTATAATAACCTATAATATTTATATCAATATCATTCAGGAAACTTACTAATATAATGATATTTTCATGACAATAGACATCAATGATTGCATCAAGACCTGTTGATCTGATTTTATTTGCCATGCATGTCCGATTGAAACTTCAAGATGTACCAATTAAATAGTGAAATTAGCCATTTTTTGGAGAATCTTCATTATTTGCTGATATTCTACTACTTGTCTGGCAAAAAATATTAAAGTCAACATCCCTGCATACTCACCATGACAATTTCATTAGAATATAATAACTAGATCTGATATTTATACACTTTTGAAGTATTTCTAGGTCATCGCTAGGTAATATGCATGTGCAAAGTCTAAAGTGTCCTAGATTTCAGTTATGAAGATGGAAATATAAATTAATATGTTTTGTATATAATTGTTAAGTTTGAAATACATATCATCATTTTATACATTCTCTTATAAAAAAGCATTTTAACTGATTCACTTACTGCAATATGCTAAATAACTAGGAAATGTCTCTCTAGTCTGTCCTTTCCCTGAATGAAATCTCAACATATCTAGCTTGCCTTAAATAGTCAAACAAGAATATCTGCTTTCCATTATCCACAAATATAAGCTAATCTGGTTTTCTTGGAATTACCATGTATTATATTTCAAGTTGTTCATTGTTTCAGCAAAATTCAACTGACTAGACATTCAACAGCCCTGTTTTACATTGAGAGGTCTATTCCATTAATACTGATTATTCTAACATTATTTTAACATGTATTTATTCAGCTCTTCATTATTCCTCAAAATGATCTGCAATTATGAGTTACAATTATTAGGTTGATGGCATCTATTTTGTTTTCATCTACTTTCATTTAAAAACTGGGTGTGAAAATATTAAAGTCTTATAATCTGTTTCACATGCAGATTGTCTACAAATAAAATCTGATGCATAAGATTTTGAGTGTCACTGTTCACAATCACACCAAAGAAACTTTATTGAATGATATAAGCTAAAGTTCAATTCATAAATAAAGGTTTGAATTGAACCAGTACCAGTTGGAAATATCATAATGCATTAATAAACTTCACTCTAATTGAAATTGTTTCTTTAAAATATATGTATTCTATGTAACTTTAAAAGTATTTATTTATATGGAGAATAGCATTGCTTGGGCATCATTTTAAATTATTATTATTATTATTATTATGCATGAGAAACTATGTTCTAGATCTAATGTTATAAATGCATTAAATATATTTAAATAATTAAAATTGAGTTTGTAGTATATTATCAATGCTTTTGTTCAAGTGAAGAGTCAAATTTCAGCTATGCTATCATCAATGTCATCAATTCTGCAGCATCCTATTCTGTAGTATCCAAAAGTTGATTACAGAGTCTAAACTCAAGGTCCCAAATGGCATGAAAAATTGATAAAAGATAAAACACTGTGTCTCTGTATATATAAACAGTGTTCAGTTATCCCTTTACGAGGGAGTTGTCTTTTTAAAGTGATCCAGTGAGTAAAATAAAGCAGAGAGGACTGTTAGTTTATAATGTCTCTTTAGTAAAGAGTCTTTTGTATACTACACGTAAACTACTATAGCCATTGGCACTCAGTTCAATGATTAGACCACATACATTTTTTTTTAGAATCAAGACTCAAAGGGAGGGACACATTCAAATGATATCATTGAGATCAGGCAATTGTCTATAAAAATGATGAAAGCCACACAAATTCATAAGTTTCACAAACAAGCATTCATACACATTTCAAAATTCAAACAAAACTTTAACTGCGTTTGAAAGAAAATCAGATCAACCCCTGTGTAAGAGCGTACAGTGTAGTGCAGTACCGTATGTTAATGGTAGAGCCTTCAGTTTGGCTCCTGTATAGACCTTTTTAACTAGCATCATCGTCAAAGATTCGCCCTTTTACAGTTGTCTATACCTTGAGTTTATGAAAATGTCGATGGTCATAAAAAATAAAGCAAGTTCATTCTGGAAGGTAGGTTATCTAAACTTATACTGTTTAAAGTCAAAGAATAAAAACAAGAAGTTGATGGCAGCATTGGCAGATTCCAAACACAATAGGCCTAATCAAAAAATTATATTGTTATTATGATTAGGATGCCATTATCATAGCCATAATTGAATGACCTGAAAATATTATACAACACAAAATCAAAATAATAAATATAATATCACTGAAATAACAGTCAATAACGAATAGCACTTAAAGCGAGATTCAGACAGACTGTGACAGTGGCACTAAGAGAGAAACAAAAAAACTGATCTTTGTCATGTCATGTCAAATGCCAAAAGTGATCAATCTCATCATTATCATCGACATCAAATGATCAATGATCAAGCAAGTGTGGCAAATGCCTCCTTGTTATCACAATTATAACAACAATTTTGACGCATCATAATGGTGTCTCTAACATCAATATAGATGTAGAGAGATCGAAATATAGCCGAGACAATCGACATTGTTTGTGCAGACATCTCACCATTTAACTTTCCTCATCATGTCATGACATCAGAAACATCAACAAATCCATGACGACCTTGACCTCATAACAACATCACATGGTCGTTTTTTAATTAAATAAAATTATTTTTTGATAAATATTGCCACGAGTTGTATTTAATTGTAAAATGAAATGCTGGTATGGCTTTTGATTTAAATTCATTTACGATTTAGGAAATATTTCCGAAAATTTTACGTCAGAGCCCGGATGTAAAATGGCGTCAAACAAGTCTAATGCAGACAAGTGAAGTCCCTTGAAAAGCCGAATATCCCTGTTATATGCTTCCTTTGCATAGCGTGACCACTATATTTTATAAGCATTAATGGTAATGCATGCAAGGAAACAACCAAGGCTCAATGATGGGTAAAGATCTCTTCAAATTATCATCAAACGTCCAGGCTGTCAATTGAAGTTTGCACTCCGCCATCTTTGTTGTCAAAATTTTGAGTTTACTCTCAAAGTATTTTCGACTAATTCGACTATTTTCATATAATACGATGGATGAGATATAAAATAATAATGTTTTTCTTTTTATTTCAGGTATGCTGACAGAAAAGATGTCTCCCATCTGCATCAGGTAATTATCAGTGATATGAAGGGCTTTGACAAAATCTGAAAGGGAGGGGCATTTGTTTCTATAAATTCTCATATTTTCTGAAAGAAATGCCCTGATTTTCGATATCACTAAGACTAAAATATCAAAATCACATTATTTGACATGAGCTGAAGTTGTACCTGATATGAACTCAAATTGATTTGCAGTAGTCTGCACGCTCGTCACTCATAGAATTATTTTGCTAAGTCGGTGCTTTTTACATACCAGATTAAGAGTGTACAAGACTACAAGAGGTTTAGGGGTTTGTGTGTTGTCTTAGGAAAGATAGGCATGACTAACTTTTTTGGTATTTTTGAAACTTGTTCCATGAAGTCTTTTTGACAAAGGCATGAGTAGCATGCTCTCAACAGTTCATTGTTTATTGAGTATGGAAAGATTAGTTTTGCATGTAATAGTGCTGATATGTGACATGCATTCTTATAGAAATAGGTGAAGGAAAGGAACAAGATTTGTGTAGCCATATATTCGTATAAGCCTTACTTGCTTCTTTAGTAGTCTAGGGTATATTCCTGTCAAAGATCAGTAGAGTTCATATATTAAAATTGTCAAATTCCTCTTGTCGAAGTTTTGACTTTAGGAAAGAGACCTAGATTCATGAGTTGAAGTCAGTTCAAAATTCATCAAGATCAATGACTTCTGACAGGTTGCTTAGAGCTTTAGAATTTGACGTCATTGCTTTGATTAGTTTGAATGGTAGTTGTGGGTTCAAATCTTGGTTGGCATGTCATCTTTTCTCATTTTCTAGTCGATCCAGCTGTTAATAGGTAGGCTACAGATAATTTCGGAAATATCAATGCCAAGATGTTGCTGGGGTGGTAGTTTTCTTTACATAAGTAATGTGTAAGAGAAGGACAACAATTAAACTCAATTTCAGATGTTAAAAATTAGAACCTGTCTGGTGTTAAG